CCTTCGTGAAGTCGGGGTGTCGTAGGACAGGTTCTCGAGTGAGCCGTTCCTTTAGTGTGGCAAAGGCTCTCTCACATTGTGCAGACCACTGTACCTGTCGAGGCTGAGAGTTCTTTGTCAGGTCGGACAGGGGGGCGGCTATGGATGCAAAATCCGGCACAAAACGGCGGTAGTACCCAGCTAATCCTAAAAACTGACACACTTGCTTCTTCGTCTTGGGGACGGGTATGTCTTTGAGGGCTTGTACCTTGCTAATCAGGGGCGTTAGTTTCCCCCCTCCTACCGTGTATCCCAGATAGGTCACTTCTTCTTGCCCTAGGTGGCATTTTGCCGGGTTAGCCGTTAGGCCGGCTGCTCTGAGGGCCTGTAACACCTCTGCCAGGTGGTGTAGGTGGCTCTCCCAGTCAAGGCTGTAAACTACAATATCGTCGATGTAGGCCGCCGTGTATTGGTCGTGGGGTTGGAGGACCTTGTTCATCAAGCGCTGGAACGTAGCCGCCGCTCCGTGTAACCCAAATGGCATGGTTATGAACTGGAAGAGGCTGAAAGGAGTGGGGAAGGCAATCTTCGCACGGGAGTTTGGTGTAAGGGGGTCTGCCAGTATCCTTTAGTTAGGTCTATGGTTGACAGATACCTGGCTCCCCCGAGGCGCTCCAACAATTCATCCACCCTCGGCATTGATATGCATCGAAGCGGGAGATAGCGTTGACCTTTCTGAAGTCGATGCAAAACCGGGTCGTCCCGACTGGCTTCGGGACTAAGACGATAGGGCTACGCCACTCGCTCGTTGATTCCTCCACCACTCCCATCTCCAACATCGTCTCTACCTTCTGTTGGACTGTATCCCACATTCTCTTGGGTAACGGTCGGTGGTTGTCCCTCACCCTCTTCCCGGGGTCGGTGGCGATATGATGACTCATTAGAGTCGTCCGGCCCGGGCGGGCAGATAAAACATCCGGAAATTCCTCCACCAACCGTTGTAAGTGCCCTCTCTGTCTGGGATTGAGGCCTGACCCCAACGTGGCCGGTCTGGGGTCGGGAAGATCTCCTGCTAGGGGTCCAAGTTCCGAGTCTGTGGTGGACGGGCCAATGAACAGGGCTTCCCGTGTTTTCCAGGTCTTCAGAAGATTGACATGATAAATGCGAGTCTCCTTACGTCGTCCCGGTAGTCTGACTTCGTAATCAACCGGCCCCACTCGTCGGATTACTTCATAGGGGCCCTGCCATTTGGCCAGGAGTTTCGCCTCCGCTGAGGGCAGTAGGAGCAGCACCCAATCACCTGGGCTGAATTTCCTCCCTCTAGTCCCGCGGTTATAGAGGCGTTCCTGGCATGCCTGGGCCCGTTCCAAGTTTTCCCGGGCGAAAGCCCCTAATGTTTGGAGTTGCTCCCGGAGGTGTAGCACGTATTGCGTGGTTCCGAGGACCCGCGTTTCCTGGGCTTCCCACTCCTCCTTCAGGAGGTCCAATATCCCCCTGGGCTGTCTGCTGTATAAGAGCTCGAAGGGCGAGAACCCCGTCGAGGCCTGTGGTACATCTCTTATAGCAAATAACAAGACCGGCAACAAGGCGTCCCAATGCGAGGGGTCCTCCTCTACAAACTTCCGCAGCATAGCTTTTAGCGTGCCGTTGAATCGTTCTACCAGGCCATCGGTCTGCGGATGGTACACCGATGTCCGGAGAGTCCGTATATGGAGGAGGCGACATAGCTCTGCTATTAATTTGGAGGACACGTTCGTGCCCTGATCAGTCAATATTTCCCTGGGTATCCCAACCCGGGCGAAAATCTTTACTAGTTCATTCGCAATGGCTGGGGCTGTCGCTGTCTTTAGGGGAACGGCTTCGGGATAGCGCGTTGCGTAATCCACCACCACTAGGATAAAGTGGTTCCCTGTCTTACTTCGTTCGAGGGGGCCAACGAGGTCCATCCCAATCCACTCAAAGGGTACCCCCACGACCGGCATGGGTACCAGGGGCGCACGGGCTACCCCTTTCGGCCCGGCTCGCTGGCATTCTGGGCACGATGTGCAAAAGTCCGCCACCTCCCGGTGTATGCCCGGCCAGAAGAACCGGCGAGCTACCCTCTGTAGGGTCTTCTCACGCCCCAGGTGTCCGGCCCAAGGGTTCGCGTGGGCTAGTTGGAGGAGGCCGGGTCGCAGTCTCCGGGGGACCAACAGCTGACGGAACGTCTCTTGGGTCTGGGGTTCCTGCGCTATGCGGTACAGGCGGTCCCGCCATACTTCAAAGCGGGGGCCCTGTGGAGTCCGTGGCGTCATGTCCCCCTCGGTATTGGGGTTGGTGGCCTGCTCCCAGGCTCTGCTTAGGGTTGGGTCTTCTCGTTGTTCCTGTAAGAAGTCCCCGTCACGCTCTAGTTTTGCTTCGGCGTCCTCTACTGAAGGGGGCCTGTCTCCAGGATGATCCACAGGGGTCTCCAAGGTTGAGGAGGTCCCCTCGCAGGGGTCACTCCTTGGTCTGCGCCCGAGCAGTCCCATTCTAGACGCCTTAGTCCTGTCTGGTCAGGGCTCGGGCGGCTGATATCTCAGGAGAACCTCCCCGAAGCCCGGCCAATCCCGTCCCAGCACCACCGGGTAGGCCAGCCTGGGGGCCACTCCTACCCAGAGACCCTCCTCTCGGCAGCCTATTCCTATTTTGACCCAGGCTGTGGGGTACGGGCGGATGTCCCCATGCACACACTGTAGGTGGATTGGGGGCCCTGAAAGATTAAGGTTCGGGACCAGCCCCTCTCGTATGAGGGTCTGACTGCACCCCGAGTCTAAGAGGGCGTTTGTGGGGGTCCCCTCGACCCAGACAGGGACTACCAGCTCTCTCCAGGCGTGGGGCAGCCGCCCCACCACAGCCTGTTATTAAGTATACTATTCCCAGACACCATCCGATGGTCCAGGGCCATCTACACCGAACACATCATCAGCCACCAACAGTACCCTGAGCCCGAGCGACATCGTGCATCGACTACGAGAAAGGGACCAAAACACTTTGTCCATGGGACCATATGAACTGGAACCATAAACTCCCTGAACGTCAAATCTCACCAAATGAGGGTCAATCCATCCTCCTCATCGTATCCACTCATTATACACCACACCCGATCGTAGCCATTCTATGAACAACAAACCCTCATCTCTCAATGTCTGTACTTTGACCCGTTAACCTTTTACCCTCAATCGGGGATATTGCAGTTTACGTTTTCCTTATGCCACCTGATATTAAACTGAACTTCGCACCTTGATAAGCTGTATGTTATTCCCTGATAACCGAAACCTTCTACGCTTAAACTCTGTACCGTTTTTTTTTAATTTAAACATCATCTTAATATAATCTTGCAATGTATACTGCAGTGGTGCAGGGGGACAACCACTGATTGTCACATATGAGTAACGTAAGAGGCCCTCCACTGAAGCGTAACAGATAACCCAGACCCAACCTGCTCGGGCGCATCACTATGGGGAGTCTGACACACTGATTGGAATATACTCGCAGTACTTCCGTACGAGGGAAGGTGCAGGGCACTATATTGCCCAGGGGGCAGTGGGGCAAACAGAGCACTGACACATTGCATCTTGATACCTGGCGCTATCAGGAAGTTTGCTGCCATATGTCCGATGCTTTTCCCGGGACCCCTGGGAAGGTGGGTCCCGAAAGAAAAGAAAGAAAAGAGGGGAGTATTAGTGTCCATGTAGGATCCAGGCCTGTAGTTTCGCCTGAGATAGGACTTTGAGTTCCGCTTGCCTGGTGGGTTTTGGATATAAAGGTGAGTCTCATCTTACGCTGGGGTTACGTTCCGCTATCAGCGCGTAAAGCGAAAATCGCGTATAGTCAAAATTACATTGAGTGTAATGGCAGGCGGAATCGCCCGCACTACAGGTACAGTATTTAAATCGTTATTTTTCTCTTTTTTTGGTTCTTTTTGGTTTTTGCGAACTGCACAAAGCTGAATTTGCGCATGTTAAATGCACATAAGATGAGACTCGCCTGTAGCTACAGTTCTAGTAATATGTGTGAACAAAGCCAGACATGGTAAATGTTGCTTTTGCCTAAACCCGATGGGTTTGTTAGTATAATGGGAATGGATAAGAGCAGTTAAAGTGTTACTGGGCATGGTGGGACTGTATAGACGAGCACACACTTGAAGACTGCCTCAGCTCCTTATCTCAAGGCGAGGTCAAACAACCAATTTCGGAGGGGCAAAGGGGGCTGGGGGGGCAGGCATAAGAAACACTAAAAGGCAGATTTCAGAGTAGCAGCCATGTTAGTCTCTATCCGCAAAAAGAACAGGAGTACTTGTGGCACCTTAGAGACTAACAAATTTATTAGAGCATAAGTGGGCTGTAGTCCACGAAAGCTTATGCTCTAATAAATTTGTTAGTCTCTAAGGCGCCACAAGTACTCCTGTTCTTTTTACTAAAAGGCAGAGAAAGGCCTGGCCTTGGCCAGAGCACAACCTCACTCCTTACCCCTCCCAGGGGGCACCAAAGGGGTGGGACAAAGACCCCAACTCATGACCAGTGGCGTAGCCAGGTTCTAAGAGCAGGGGGAGCAAACATTAAAAAGGCGCCCCCCCTTTGGCTCCTCCTCTGGCCACGCCCCCCATGGCTCCTCCTCCGGCCGCTCTGCCCCCCCTCCATGGCTCCTCCGGCCATGCTGCGGCTATGCTGCGCCCCCCCTTCAAGCCTGGGGTGCGGCAGTCCCCACAGTTCCAGCCCCGTGTATCTGCAGGGAACAGAGGGGATTACAGCCTAGATCGGGGTTACAGGGCCCGGCTCTGCTCCCACTCCCACACCAGACCTCGGGCACCTGACACAGCTGGGAAGGGGTGCAGGGACCTGCCAGGGACAGGCAGCCCGGAGTTTAGCAACTGGGAGAGTGCAGGGCCCTTGGAGGGTTAAAGGCACCAGCTCCTCCCAGGTCCAAAGGTCGCTGTGCCTGGCAGGGCCTCCAAAGGGTGAATGGCACTGGCTCTGCGCGGGTTCAAGGGTCGCTGAGGGAGGAGCGGGGAGCAAAGTGCCTGGACCTGTCACACAACCCCACAGAGGGCTCCCACCCCAGGCACGGGACTGTTCTTCCAGCTGCAGACACCAGCACAGGCCCTTGAGTCGTTCCGGGAACACGCCAAGGAATCAGCTCAACTGGTGCCAAGGTGCAGCTGGCTCTGGGGTGGGACAGCCAAGTAATAGTCTCACCCTGCTCCCTGCAGAGCTGAGCCTCCCATTGCCAGGCTGAGGCGCTGGAGACGACTGACTTTCAGGAGAGAGGACCCCCACACTGCTCCCTGCAGCACAGCTCCCCTAGTAGCGCATAGGGACCAACACTGACGCCGGGAGGTCTGTCTCTGTCCCTGCCCTGCCATGGCGCGTGAATACTTCACCCACAAGGGGGTACTGTTCCCATGCCTGGATTACTCCCCCGAGAAGCTGAGCTACGTGGAGAATGAATTCCAGGTGCGGGACGATGACATCTTCAACATCGCCTATCTCAAGTCAGGTAGGGGAGAGCGTGTGTGTGTGTGTGTGTGTAGGGGGCTACTGACACACACACGGACATTAGATGGAAACACCAAACCCGTCACATGACCTGATTTCCTAGATGCCAGACCCCGGGCACACACACACGCCCAGCCCAGAGTGAGACAAAGCAGGCTGCTCCCTGGGGCCCAACTCGCCCACCTGGTGCTAGGCTGGCTCTCTGCAGACACACTGTGATCACAGGCTTTCTCCAGAGCCAACGGCAGGGCCAGGAGACCCCTGGCACAGCAAAATGAGAGCTTCTGATTTTAGCACTGTCAATGCACCTCAGCTGATGGGGGCTGGAGCCAGGACTCCTGAGTTCTCTCCCCGGCTCTGGGAGCAGAGGGGGACCTAGCAGGTTGGGGGCTTGTTTCAGTCCCATTAACCCTTTCACCCCCAGGCACTAACTGGATGCTGGAGATCCTGAGTCTGATCCGTTGTGACGGGGACCCCGGCTGGGTGCGCAGCGTGCTGAACTGGGAGCGGGCGCCCTGGGTGGAGAGCCAGCTGGGGCTGGAGGCTGCCCTGAAATACCCCCCACCCCGGCTGCTCTGCTCCCACCTCCCCGTCCAGCTCTTCCCCAAGTCCCTGCAGCGCTCCAAGGCCAAGGTGAGAGGCGGGAGAGCAGGGGCTGCGGGTCGGGATTGAGGGGCACCAACAGGGCTGTGCGTCGGGAGGGGGGTGAATACAGGGGGGCTGCTGGGGG